TCTCCTCTGATTACCATCATGTCTCTAGAGGTCCATGAGGGCAGGGTTCATGTGTTCATGCGCGTTTGGAAAGATGTGTATGAGTGTGTTTGTAAAAGCAGAGTAGGGATTTCTGGCACAACTTCTCCTCCTTCCAAGCTGCAAGCAGAAAGGAAAATCTGAATAAGGAACACGAACATTTATACTAAAAGTATTTCAGTTTATTACTTTTTTTTATAAAAGTTAGCCTATGTCTAGAGTTAATACTAGTGCAACTATGATATAGGAAAGACTATCATATTCAAAATGTATAGTTGTGGGTACACTTAAAGATGGATGTCATTTAAAGTTAAACCTGCAATACCTATGGTGGCCTCCAAAACAAAACAGTAAAAAATAAAAAATGTTTATAAAATCTCTCTTTAAACTTAATATGGCAAACATGTTACCAAAAAATAATTTGCTTTGGCACACCGCCCACCCTGACACAGGGAAACATTTGTTTTCTTGTCATATGACAAATTGTAATTACAATATTCTTCGCTTTTTGCTCCCTTTTGGTCTCCACCTCCACCATGCTAACTGTGTCTGCATTTGCTGCTTGGTACAGTGTTCAGTGGTTGGTTGCTTTACTGAAACAAAGTAAAGCAGCTTCCTGCTGGAAACAACACCGATGAGGGCTGATAGACTGAACTAAAACCATACAATTCCACCTCGTAAAAACCAGCCCGGGAAATCCACAGTGGCTCAGACAGACACCTTTCACGTTACATTTTTTTATTTCTTCAATTTTTTACTTAAAATATGGATACAAAAAGTTTATATAAAAAAGGTAATAATATGAATGAAAAGTTTCTTTCATACAATTATAATTTTTTAAAGGACAAACCTTCCATGAATTTCTGGTTTTAAAACAAGTCAGGAAAAAGGAATATCCTTCAGTGGAAGGTTAGGCATGTATTGATGAAGTTAAATATTTGGTCAAGGATGGAGAAGGTACAACAAAGTCAGTTATTATCCTATTGTGAGCATATGCAAAATCTCTAACTGACAAATCCTTTGACGTATGAATGAAATGCCCTCAGGGACCAAACTATGATTGAAGTTGAGCGTTAAACTCTGGCATCGAGGAGTGGACACATCACCATCGTTACAGTGAGACGGTTACAGCTCTGTGGAGACAAGAGGGGTGTCAGTGTCACATAATAAACCAAAAAAAGTACCAAATATGGATCTCATTAGGCCTTTAGCCTGCCAGTGTTGGAGTAAACACATCCAGACTGCAGCCACACTCACCCGACAAAGCTTTAGCTCTGAGACGCAGCCGAGCCATGAGAAATAAACCCAATCACCAATAGAGTGCTCGAACCACACAGAGCGACCCCTACAGAAAAAAAGAACACTCTGAAGACAGATGTAGAAAGAAAATAATTGCAGTCTCTTCGTCCAAGGTGTTATCTGCTGTTATCACTGTAATTGGAGCAATAGGGGGTCATTTCCTGCGAGAAAGGAGCTTAATTGTGATGACTCATCGCTCCTCGCTGCAGCAACGGCTCAACTGTCGCCAGAAGAAGACCAGACCGCTTGTACCCCCTTTCCCACAATTCCCCCTTCTCCCTCCTTCCCTCGACTTTCACTCTGAGCTCATTCCTCAACTCATCCCTCCTTCTGAAACCACCATGGCCTGCGAGCACTTCAAAAGAACAGAGATCCTCATAAGTCACCCTTCAGTGGCCCACAAACCGTGGCAAGTCGGCTGGAAAATCCAAACAAACAATGCGCTGATGAGTGGGTTGGACTGTCTTAGCTCATTCGATGTAACCCCATGAGCCCATCAAGTGATCCAATGCTGGAAAGTAAACATCACGCTTTAGTGGGGCTATATGAAAATGTAGAGAATGAAGGATAAAGTCAAAGAGGAGAGGCACAGTTGGCTGCTGCTGAGCATATGTGTGTGTGACAGAAAAAAAGATACATTTGCAAGCAGTGAGGAATGTTTTCTTATCGTCACAGAGCAGGCCTGGCTAGTCAGATTTTTGGGAACTTATCAGTGGATTAGGACCGAGGACTGAGTGGTGATAGATTGCATGAGGGGCAGCAGTGCGATAGCCTTAGAAAGACCCCAGCCTGAAGTGTTTAGGTGATGAAGAAGAGGAATAGAAAGAACTTGGCAGGAAGGGAACATTAAGATGGTGTTTTTAAGAGCAATATGCCACACTCATATCTTTGTCTCTTAGGTAATCAAAACCTCAGCCATTCTGAGTGTCTGGGATATTTTTAAGTTTAATTGTGCTGGCAGGAAGTGCAGGACAGGTTCATGTGAAAAATTCACCTTTAAAAAGTTAGGAAAATTATGCCGTAAGATTTATCTTTCCAACACGCTGTAGGTGGTCCGGAGTTTCAGACTCTTTTGACAACTGTGTCTCTCCTCACAGGCTGAGAAATATTGAGGCCATAAAAATATTAACACTACAGCTAAAACGTGTACCCTCCAGCACTAAAGAAGCCATCATAACATCACTCAACCAGTAGAACAGAATGAGCAGGAATTCTTCGGTTGACCAAAAATCAACCCCTTGCACCACAAACAGGTCCTGTTGGGCAAAAGACTGGTCCATCAAGGGCAACATTACATTCACAACCAAAGAGGTTAGCATCATAGCGTTGTGTGTGGCCAAAAACATATGTAAAGAATACCAGAGAGGGAAATCCTTGTAAAGTGTATTTCCATTGTTGCTGCCCAGAAATAGGGAAATAATGAAGACATAAATATGGGGTAAACATTTGAGTGAGGAATGAAACAAAACAGGAAAAATGTGATAAGGAAAGAGACTAAACAGTAACAGGAAAACAGACAAGACTGGGTAACACATGGACGATCAACAAGGATAGATGAAAGAGGACAGCATTTCCTTCCTGTTCTGAGTTGTGTTAGGCCTGTACGTCTGTTAAACTACTCATCCTCAGTGACAGACCCCTGTTTCTCTCTCAGGCTTTGATGTGAGCTTCACCTAGACAGGATATTACTCTTTAATGATCTCCTGATAGGCTTTCCCTCCTAGACGCAGCGGTGCAGACAGCAGGAAGTGTGGGTGAAACATGTAACATTTAGACACTCAAACAGAGTTGTGGAAAAACTTCGTCCACCAATGTCAAGTCCTTTACCTGCCTCCCACACATGCATGCACTGATGCAAATATAATATAATAAATAAATAGGCTGTAGTCGTTATTTGTGATAGGGAAGTCAATGTTTCTATTTCAGTAAACCATTCAGACTGATCCCATTCCTGAACCCACATTTACTTAAGTACTGTAATTAAGTTTATTGTATACACCTTTATACTAGATAACATCTCAGAGGTAAGTATTGTTGGTAGTATTGTATGTTGCATGTCAACTAATAAATCAATATGTCAATACATTATGATATATTATTATAGGATGAGCAACTTAGAAGTTAAAAAAGCATTACAATTTAGCATCACCTTTACTAGCTGTATCAATGATGTGATGAACATAAATAAAGTAACTAATAATCCAATGATTTATTTTCATTTTGCATAATAATTTGTTTTGTTAATTATAAAATATGCAAATACTTATCTCAGAACTTCCCCACTGTTGTTTTGAATTCAATTCCAGCCTTTTTAGTAAATTGGCTTGGGGGATTTTTTGACAGTTTTATCTGTCAATTCACTCCAGTGTGATAGTGTCGCAGCAGTAATTATTAACTGATGTTTTCAGCAGCATAAAAAGCATGCACTTGACTCTGTCAGACATTTAAAAAAGAAAGAAGAATCTGACTGTAGACCATGTGAGAAAGAGAGAGTGACATACTGTATAGCAGAGGTGTGAAGAGGAAGAAAAAAAGAAATACTTTTTTTGTATTGTGCCAGAGGACCTTTCAGCTAAACCAGGTAATCCCACCACAAACAGGTTTATTTGAAGGACACCGCTGTTTGAATAGTCAGACACTGAAGTGTAATATATCAGGTGTGCAGCCGGATAAAGACCAGGATTTGTAACTGCCAAAACACTGTGGGTATGAAAAGTAACAGTGAATGCAACGTTACTGCTGTTTAACATGTGTTCATGGATCAGTGAGTCTGTGTGAACTAAATGTCATCATACCAACAACAGACAGGCTTTAAAACATACAACAAACCAATTAAAGATTTATTTGAGGCTTATAGCGTCCCTCTCACCTCTCCCATGCTTGGTTTGGTCCTGGTTAACCTTCTGCAAGCCCTGCAGGGGAGTTTTCGCAGGTGAGACACTGAAGCATGTTAAAGCACGCTGTGATCTCCTTATAGGCTGTGGGATGAAATCACTAAGCATGGGAATTGGATTCTCTTACATATTATCAGAAGATCGTGGGAACAATAATTCTAAACATTAAGGAACTTGAGAAAAACAAAAGCTTATTGTCTACTGAACTGGCCCTGAGTTTCTGATGAATTGTAAAAACTGGTTCTTCAAGCACAAAAGCACCCCACACCTGAAAATGAACAGCACTTCCTCGTAATGTGATATTTTACGCAATGTTCTCAATGCAGATTTTTTTGCAGTATTTAAAATGTGTCCTGCTCAAATACAGCTGACAATAGCAACAGCTGTAGCTAACACACTGCATATTGCATGAAGATATCATGCATAGTTCATGGAACATTTGAGGAAGGGGATTGTGTAAGCAAAGTAAAGGCTCCTCTTGCTGTCATGATGTTAAAAAATTAGGTGAGTCTTCATGATTATATCAGAGACATGTGGTTTCCGTCACCCATCTCTGTTCGCAGATCAATTAGACATTAGACTTTATGATCTTTGAAATATGAAGAAGTCTAGGTTGTGGTTGGTTACTCATAACCACTAATAATGCTCACGGGCCTAAATGAGATCCTGATGAAACCATTGATCCAGCTCATCTGCCAGTGTCATCAAGAAGAGAGTGTGTAATGTGCAGCCAGGAGAAACAGTGTGTGTGTGTGTGTGNCTTCCTGTCTCTCTGCTAGCAGCTCCGTAATGCTACAGGGGCTCTGCCTGCTCAACTCATCCGGGGAACATAACTTGAACTCGGCCGTGTTTGTCGTGCTGGTGAGCACGACAAACACGGCCGAGTTCAAGTTATGTTCCCCGGATGAGTTGAGCAGGCAGAGCCCCTGTAGCATTACGGAGCTGCTAGCAGAGAGACAGGAAGCTAACAACAGCAGTCACTGCCATGTATGGTAGTAACTCATTAAGAAATGAGAATGTGTTTTACACTTTACAATAAGAGTCCCTTTTGGTAGTTATAAATGTTAGTAACTCATAAATAAATGGTCATAAAGAGAGGCCAAGAAACATTAAGATGGATGGGGGGAGAATCAACTCGGTGAACAACAGATACCAATGATGTTGGCTTCATTAAAAAGACGAAGTAAGCTAGATAGCCAATGTAAGGCTTAGTCATCTTGCCAAATAGTGAGCCTGTGTTGATGTATGGCAACTATGTTAGAACTGGTTTATAGATGGTTCTTAATGATTGATAAAGTGTTTACAACCTAATTAATGACCTAATTTTAGACCCTTTATGAGTCCTTTATAAGGGTAGTCTTATGTAAAGTGGTACCGGTATATTTATACATAGCTCTTCCCTGTCCTCTCTCTGCAGGATGTCCTACACCGACTTCCTGCGTCACTACTCTCGGGTGGAGGTTTGCACTCTGACCCCCGACACCATCGACGACGACTCCGTCAAACACTGGAGCGTCACCAAGTTAGACGGCAGCTGGAGGAAAGGGTCCACCGCCGGAGGCTGCAGGAACCACCCCTGTGAGTACAGAACCCTAACCCTCTTTGACCCCTGTGAGTACAGAACCCTAACACTCTGTGACCCCCCAGACCCTCTGTGACCCCTGTGAGTACAGAACCCTAATCCTATTTAGAGGCAATGGACGTCCACTCTCGGGAGACGCCCGATAGTGGTGCGGTTACCCAATTTCTTTTGAGAACCAGAGAAAAGGGGTGAAAATGAGAAAATGTATCCCAAAATAGTGCCTCACAACGCGGGTAGAGTCCCCTGTCAACTCCCCTCGCATTCCTCCAGAGTCACATTTGGAGTGAGAACCAGGAGAAAGGGGGGAAAATGAACAAAAAGTATCCGAAAATAGTGCATCATAGATGTTGCAGAGCGGAAGAGTCAGGCTGTGGAGCTTGACTCTGGCCAATCACCACATGTGGTGATTATGTCACCACATGTGGTGATTATGTCACCACATGTGTTGATGCATCTTATGATGGCCAATTGGCCAATTTGGCTGCTCCAAGATCCCCAAAAGACAGACTAAACACCTCCAGCATGTGTCCCTAACATGGGCACTCAGGTTATTTCACACCTCCAGGAGAGAGAACGGGAAAAGCCCCTCTCTTTGGCGGCTCAACGACCCCCTAAGGGCGGACTAAACACCTCCAGCA